TCTCCCTTTATCTACATCTTTCCTTCCTTCCTTCCTTCCTTCCTTCCTTCCTTCCTTTCTTTCTTTCTTTCTTTCTTTCTTTCTTTCTTTCTCCCCCCTCTCTCTTTCTTTTCATCCCTCTGTTGGCAGCTTTCCTAGCACCTTCTGTTATGTGAAAGGCTCTCAGGTCCAATCTAGCTCATAGATCTAAGTCCTGTGTCTGAACTGCATGGTGTTTTCAGCATCTCTAACATCTGGGAAGTAACCAAGGGCAACAGCAATAGTCTATATTGTTTTAGGAGTCTTGAAAAAGGGTTTCTCATGCCTGGCACTGAGGTTTCTGCCAGACAGTATAGTTGTTGGGGTCTTGGAGGGTGCATTAGTTTCTCCAATTAGCACAACTTTATTGAGACTGTATGTACACTCATCTATATTATATATAATTTCAAGTAAACATAAAACAATATGACCCACTATGGCTTTCTCAAGCATCCTTAGTGTTGTTCCCTCCTCTTCTTTCCCTCTATTCTGAAATGGAAGCCATCCCCATTTCCCCATTTCTTCATATCACTCGTACCCTGTTATTCCCCTCTAGCAGTTTCTGTTTTGAAACTGCAGGGTGGGGGATAAGTCAGCTGCTACTTCAGTGCTCCAGGATGTGTGAGGGGGGTTGGCTGCTTTCCAGAATTCCATGGGTGGAGGTTTCTTGAAGCCTTGGGCTGTTTTATGGCCTTGCTTTTGGGGAGGGGGTTCTTCTTTAGGCCATAGTTTCTGGGTAATGGAGTCCTGCTCAGGAAATCCTTTCCTAAACATGTATCACTTAGGGTCTGCCTATGCTTTCTTCTAGCAGTTTCGGTGTTTCAGGTTTCATTCACACACAGCTCTTTGATCATGTTGGAGTTAATTTTTAAGATAGGTGACAGATTTGAGTCTAAGTTCATTTTCTGCATGTGGACACCCATTTGAGAGTATCATTTGTTGAAAATGCTACCCTTTTTCTAGTGTATGTTTTTGGCATGTTTTCCAGCTGTAAGATGGCTGTGTATTCCTGATTGGGTCCTTTATTTTGCCCCACTGGTCTGCATGTTTGTGTTTTGTGCCAGTGTCATGCTGTCATTACTATTACTCTATATCTTGAAATCTGGAATGATCTTCCTGAATCTGCTTCTTCAGTGATTTAAAGTTTCCATTATATCCAAGTCTTCCACTTCGTTGGTTAGGTTTATTCCTAATTATTTTATTTTCTTTGATGCTATTGTGAATGAGAGTGTGTTCGTGATCTCTTTTTCAGTGTGTTTATTGTTGGTGCATAGAAAGGCCACTGAGTTTTATAAGTTGACTTTGTGTATTGCCCCTTATTCTAGTTAGGGCTTGTATGCTATGGTGAAACACCATGACCAAAAGGAAGCTAGTGTCTTAGTCAGTGTTCTACTGCTGTGGAGAGACACTGCGACAGAGGCAACTCATATAAAAGGGAGCATTTAAATGGGGCTGGCTCACAGTTTCAGAGATTTACATTGTCCTCATGGTGGGGAACATGTCCCACACAGGCAGACATGGCAGCTGAGAGAGCTCTACATCCAGATCTTCAGGCAGCAGGAAGAGAGAGCCACTGAGTCTAGCTTGGGCTCTTAAAACCTCAGAGCCCACCCCCAGTGACACACCTACACCAACAAGGCTACACCTCCTAATCCTTTTAAACAATGTCACTCCTTGGTGACTAAGCGTTCATGGGAGTCAGTCTTATTCAAACCACCCAGGATGAAAGGGCTTGATGATGGAAATTTCTGTCCTGCTTGGTCCCACAGCCACATTGCCCCAAAGAAACACACAGATGCTATTAATTATAAAAAGGTTGGCTGATGTCTAGGGCTTCTTATTGGCTAGCTCTTAATTATTAACCCATAACTACTAATGTATGTATTTCCACGAGAGTGTGGGTTATCCAGCATGGTACTCCTTGGGCAGCATGACATCTCTTTAAGCTTCCCTCTCCCTCCTCCCCAGTATTCTCCTCATCGTATAGCCCTGCCAATCTTCTGTCTGGATACTGGCCAATCAGTGTCTTATTCATTAACCAATAAGAGAAACACATACAGAAGGACATCCCCATCAAGGACTTACTTGGTTTACACTACTGAAGAAAGTCTACCACTGAAGAAAGGACAGGAACTTAAAAAGGGCAGGAATCTGGAGCCAGGAGCTGATGCAGAGGCCATGGAGGGGAACTGCTTACTGGCTTGCTCTCCATGGTTTTCTCAGCTACTTTTTTTTTTCCTTCCTTCCTTCCTTCCTTCCTTCCTTCCTTCCTTCCTTCCTTCTTTTTTTTTCTTTTTCTCAAAATAGGGTATCTTTGTGTAGCCTTGGCTATCCTGCAACTAGCCCTGTAGACCAGGCTGGCTCTGTAGACCAGGCTGGCCTCAAACTCAGAGGCCCTCCTGCCTCTGCCTCCTGAGTGTTGGCAATACAGGCATGTGCCACCATCACCGTGTTGGCCTGCTTTCTTAAAGAACCAGGATCTCCAGCCCAGGGTGGCACCACTCACAATGGCTGGGCCTTCCCCATCGGCCACTATGTAAGAAAATGTCCTACAGGCTTGCTGTCAGCCCATTTCACGGGGACATTTCCTCAGTTGATGTCCCCTCCTCAGAGGACTATATAGCTCATGTCAACTTGACATAAAATCAGCCACTATACCTCTTTATGAGATAGTTGTTTCTAAAGGTTTTCTGGTGAAATGTTTGGGGTCTCTGTAACGTGTCACCTGCAAATAGGGATAGTTGGGCCTTTTTCCTGTTTGTATCCCTTTGATTTCCTTCTTTGTCGCATTGCTCCAGCTAGTGCATCTAGCACAGCAGTGAAAAGGAGTGGGCATAGTGGACAGCCCTGCCTCTTTCCTGACTTCAGTGAGAGCACCTCAGCTTTTCTCCATTTAGGATGAGGTGGTACCGGGTTTGTCATACACAGCCTTTACCTTGTTGAGGCCTGTTCCCTCCAGACCAGTCCTCTTGAAGGACTTTTGTCATGAAGGCATGTTGAGTTTTTATCAGTTGATTTTTCTGCACCAATTCAGATGGTCATATGATTTTTGTCTTCAAGTTCTGTCTTAGGGTTTCTATTAGTATGATAAACCACCATGACTAAAAGCAACTTGGGGAGGAAAGGGTTTATTTTATCTTACAACTCTCAGGCTATCCTCTATCACTGAGGGAAATCAGACAGGAACTTGGAGGCAGGAACTAATGCAAATGCCATGGAGGAACACTGGAAGACAGGTAGATTGCTCTCTGCTTTTGTAGTAAGCTTAGCTGATCTGTCCTTTTCAGGTAGCATCAATGGTCAGGGATATCTGTCAGCTGTCCTTATTGCTCATATATGCTTGGGGAGGGAGAGGGCTAGTGAATCCAGTCAGTTTTAGGGACTTTCTGAAGCCACTGTATTACTTCCCGAGTTTCAGGAACTTCTCTGAAGGATGAAATATTTCACCTCCCTTTTAACATCCTGTGCCTTTGGGGTACCACCATTGCCCAGCTATTTTCTTTTTAACGTCTACCTTGCAGTGTGGTCCTGAGGATGCAAGCTAGGCAGCACTGTGCCAAGTGACATCCTCAGCCCTGAACTATATACTCTATTTATTGATTGATTTTTATTTGGCTTTTTATTAACAACTTTTAATTGATTTTTGGGAATTTCACATTGTGCATCCTGATCCCACTCATTTCCCAGTCCCTCTGAATTTGCCCTTCACCCTTGTATTGTTCCCTGCCAAAGGAAAACTAAAAAAAATAATAAAAACAAGATAAAAATAAAAAGCAAATAAGAGTGTTAATGCAAAACAAACAAACTAAAAACTAAATAAAGCAAATAAGAAAAAAACACTGCTCCATCTTTTCTGCCTCTCATTACCTCTTCATTTGTCTTGGTGGCATTGAGAGCTGCTGTGTATTGTACAGTATACCCTGTCCACAGCTTTACTTGCAAATGTTCTTTGTGTAATGTGTTATTGGCCAGGTTCAAGGCCTCTGGCTTCTAGTTCACCTTCAATGCTGGACCCTCACCAAATCTCCTCTCGATACCCTGTAGTTGTCCCAAGTCTTGGAGATCCTGTGACTATGGTTTCATAGGACCAGTCCTTTGCTCCATAGATGGGTTAGATGTTGGGGAGTGCCAACTCAAAGCCCTGGATGTGTGTCTGGGTGGTGACTGGTTGTTTTGACCCCCCCTCAGGAGAGTGGCAGAGCCAGCTTTCCCAAGTGTGGAGTAGGGGTGGAATGGGAGGTGGGAGGGGTCCAGCATTCATTAGCTGGCAAGGCCAGCTTTCCCCTGCCAGGGTCATGGGGGTCCATTGTCCCAGGACCCTCGGGGGGGGGGTGTTAGCACTCAGGTGAGGTGGGGCCTGCTGTCCCTATGCCAGTGAGGGGCAGGGTCAGCTCAGCATGGCCCTTGTGGTTCAATATGGTTCACATGGGCCCCTGTGGTAACAGGGCAATGGACATCAACACAGACCCCAGCTGTAGCAGGACCATGGACTCAGACATGGCCCTTGGCAGCAGCGTGGGCCGGATCTATATCATGGCCCTGGGTGGCAGTGCAGACCCCTCAGATCAGCATCATACCCATACCGGTTGCTGGGTGACCTTTGACAGAATCCGTTCCGGCCTTACATTTTGTGGGTTCCTGGGATTGAATTTAGTTCATTAGGCTTGGCAGCAAGTGCCTTTATCAGATAAAGCCCTGTCATCCTTCTCTGCACTGTTCTCCGATGTCATGAGTTTTAGATTGGCAGCATCTGCCATTTTGTCAGTATATTTCAAGGGCTCAATAGCTACATGTGGCCAGTAGTGACCATGCTGTACACTGTCACACAGGCAGAGACAAACGTGGGTTAGCTTGTAGGACCAGCTCTCCAAGGAAGGGGCAGTGAAGACACTGCAGAACGTGATGCAGGCTTTCTTTTCCTTCATGAGACATGGAGTCCTTTCAAGGGTCCTGGTGGTGATATCTGATGTCTCATCTCTTAGGCGGCTTAGCCTCTCTGCACTCTAGAATTCACCCCGAAGTGCTGCCCGTCCCGCAGTCTCAGCCCTCGGGCCACTCAGCGCTTTGCGCAGGTTCTGCCGCATTGACCTCAGCCAGGCTCCGCTGGATTTCCACAGCCGCACTGCAAGGGGCGGGGCCAGGGGGCGCGCTGCGCCGAGACTCCCTTTTGATTGGTAGGTGGCCGTGTTTTAATCTGGCCTGCTTAGACGGGTGGGGGGGTTAGCCCCACCTTGTTGAATCTCGAACGCTGATTGGTTAGTCGTGTGGCGCGAGCGGTGGGTGCACCCCACGCTGATTGGCCTGCGGGACGCACTCGTAGGGAGGCGGAGCCGCGGTTGGTGGAGCGCAGCTGCCGGCGTGTGTGCCCGGGCATTGTCTCGGGCGGCAGGGCGGCAACCGAGCTGCAGCGGAGCGGCGCCATCCTGTGGAGGAGCCATGAAGCACTACGAGGTGAGCGGCGCGGGCCCCGGCCGTAGCTGCTGCAGGCCGCACCATCCCCTTTCAGGGCCTCGGGACCCTCTTTTATGGCCCAGCTACCCGCCGATGGCGCAGGCGCAGTGTGTCCAGGGCCTGCTGTTAAATCCCATTGCGCATGTGCAGGGAGGTATTTATGCTACCCCGGCCTTTTGGGGGCGCGGGGAGGGGGGTACCTTTTATTAGGGTCTTGGAGGGCTTGGGAGAAGCTTGCAGGGTTTTTTTTTGCAGCATCCTCGGTGGCCCAAGTGGCAGTGCGCAGCACCTGTACTTGGTGCGAGCGACTGATTGTCTTGCATAATCCTTGCACAGTGTCAGCGCCTCGGGCTCAGGAAGGGGCTCTGCGGTTGGCCTGCCTCTTCCGACCTTCGCACTCCTCGCTCTAGATGCCTGGACGGCGAGGGAGTTGGTTCCACGGTCATGCCAGCCGGTGACCGCTAGAGAGGAAACCTGAATGCGCAAGATGGTTCTGGAAGCTTAAATCTTCTGACTTAATCTTGGGTCTCTTTTCCTTTAAAACGAAGCCTTGTGTTGCTCTTTTTACTCAAACTGATACTAGTTTTGTTATTGATGACTTAAGTAACGATCATAAAACAGTAACCGATTGCTCACATTCATAGTAGGAATGCATTAGTAAAGGCTGACTACCGTTTTACTGAGATTCTGTTACCTTGTCCTGGAACTCATGGTCCTGCTGAGACAGAACGCTCACTGATGATGTAGGTGAAAGTCAGCCATGTCAAGTGCATTGTCGTTGAAAGATCTCAGCTAATATCTGCAGAACACAGAGAGGGAACGAAGATTTCAAAGGCATTCTTCCTAACCACTAGCCATAAATGAAAGCTGGCAAATTAAAAGATTGCTTGTATTTCTCCCCAGATTTTAAATTTGTGATGAAACTTGCCAAATTTTTCACGGTAGCCATTTTCATTGTACAATAGTTCAGCACTATTAAGTCTATTCATATTGTTCAAATTTCACCATTATCTATCTCGTCAACTTTTTTTTTTTACGACTAGAATGAGGTTAGGTTTTTTTTTTTGTGTGTGTGTCACCCCCCCCCCCCTTTACTTGTACTAGGGATGGAACTCAGGGCCTGGCACCTGCTAGTCCAGCCTCTTAGACTCTTTTCCATCTTGTAAAACTGAAACTCTACACCCATTATACAGTATCTCCCTATTTCCCATCTCCCCAGTCCGTGGCAACAACCACTTGCCTCTGGAAATTGGAATACTTTGGGAATCTCCAATGCATGGGAGATAATTTTATCTTTATAACAAGTTGAATACCACTACTTCTAGTCATCTTCTGTATTTTCATTATTTTTATATGTAATAAGTATAATATACAATTATAAAAATAATTATTTTCTCAGGTCTTTTGAAACCTTTAATCTAGAAATCATATATATATATATATATATATATATATATATATTTTTTTTTTTTGGAGGCTGTCCTGGCACTCGCTCTGGAGACCAGGCTGGACTCGAACTCACAGAGATCCACTTGCCTCAGCCTCCCAAGTGCTGGGATTAAAGGTGTACGCTACCAGCGCCCGACTCCTCGATCTTTTTTTAAGATAACATGGTGACAAGAACCAGGAGGTAGGAATCTAATCTTTAAGTCCCCTTCAATTTTGTGCTTTCAAAAGGAAGTTTTTTTCTGGTGTGCTTTTCCCTTTCACACCTATCTTGCACGGATGAAAAGCCATGTTCAGTTTGAAAAACACAGGTAGAAGGTAGAATTTGCAGTGAGTTATTTTAATTTGCTAGTTGAAAACCAGGCCAGGAAGGCTCTTGATGACACTGACTGGGTGGGTGCTTTGGTTCTAGGAACTTGAGCACAGTGTAAGGCTCATGGTTTGCTGGAAAACATGCTCTAATGTGCTCCAGTCTTCTCTGCCTTACTTCTCAGAGTGCTCTTGATGGGCTGGTGGTAGTCCCTGCGTCAGAGCACTTGTTTAGCGTGCACACACGAGGCTCTGCGTTCCATCTCAGCATTGCACAACGAAGGCAGATTAGGAACCAAACTGGGGAATAGGGATTCACTTTATTTGGTAGGGTACTTTCCTAATGTGCTTGAAGCCCTGGGTTCAATTCCTAGCACTGAATAAAACCAGGCAAGCTGGCACATGCCTTTAGTTCTAGCTCTTGGAAGGTGGAGGCAGAAGGATCATGAAAGCTATCTTCAACTACATAGTGATTTTGATGCTAACCTGGGCTAGAGATCCTGTCTCAAAAATCCAAACCAAATGAAGTAGACAAAAGCAATAAAAACCGAAAGCCAAGGTGACCTTAGAGGTAAAAAAAGTTATTTCCTAGTATTTTGCTATTCTCTGTGACATTTGTCTAGTACCCACTGAGGCCATTGTTTTGGCATGGGGCACCTACTATCTTCTAGCTTGGTTTGCAGAACTATTGGTGCAGACCAATAAAGACGGAAGAGATCATTTCACAGTCAAGATCTTGGGAAAAGGGTCAGTTATCCACATTGAAGAACAGATTTCTGGAGTGTTTGATTAGCACGCAGGAGGCCCTGGGCTCCATTCCTTAGTACTTGGGAAACCAGGCATGCTGGCTCATCCTCTGCTCCAAGGACTTGAAGGGGAGAGCAGTGGGATTAGAAGTTCAGAGTCATCCTTGGCTACACAGTGAGTTCCAGGCCACCCTGGTAAGATGGTTCAGTGAACCAGTTCCTATAAGTTGTCCCCTGCTTCCACACATGGGGTTGTAACACCAGTGTGCATGCAGTACAATAAACATTATTATTATTATTATTATTATTATTATTATTATTATTATTTTGAGATAGGGTTTTTCTGTGTAGTCCTAGCTATCCTGGAACTTGCTCTGTAGACCAGGCTAGTTGAACTCAGATCTGTCTGCCTGTCTTCCCAAGAGCGGGGTTTAAAGGCATGTGCCACCATGCCTGCCTAAAAATGTAATTAAAAAAAAAACAAACAAAATAATAGATACCTCTGAAGGACTGAGTCCATCCTTTGCCCCCAGGAAGCCTTCAGTCCTCCCTCAAAAGACTTTCTTGGAGACAGTGAGATAGCTCATCTGGTAGAGACACTTTTTTGAAGGCCTACTTGAGTTTGCTCCTTAGACCCCACAAGATGGTAGGAGAGGACCAATTTTCTAGAATACCCTGAATTAAAAAAGAAAGACTTTTTGCCCATAGACAGACATGTCGGATATTATGATGCATACTTACTGTTCTTGGACTTGGGGGTGCTGAGATGGAATCCAGGATATTGCATATGCTAATCAAGCTGTCTGCCACTGAGCTGCACCTCCAACCAAAGAGCAGTTGGTGCTCAGGGACTGGAAAGATGGGTCAGAGGTTAAGAGCTCTTCCAAAAGATCCAGGTTCAATTTCCAACACCCACATGTGTCTAACCCAGCTGTAATACCAGTTCTAGGGGCTCCAGCACCCTCTTCTGCCCTTTGGGCATTGCATAAACTAGGTGCACATAATATACATGCAGGTCAACAATCCTAAAAAAAAGTCAGATCCCCCTCATTGTCACATGGTCAGTTAATGTCACAGGGAAGACCCAAGGCACAGTGGACAGGATTCCACCTGGAGAAGAGATTGTGGCTTTTTGATAAGTTTCACATTGGCTCAGTTCATAGTTTATCTAGCAGGAAAGAGAACCCCTTTCATGGCCTGGGCCTTATTGAGGTGAAACTTCTAGAACAGTTGGCTGTGGGCTTAGTGTAAATCAGCAGTGTTGGTATGAGAGCTCCTTGTCCTAGGCTCAGGACTTTTTTATTAGCGTTTTTCCACTGGAGATGACATTGGAGATGATCCCTGCAGTAGCTAGAGCCAGTTGCTGGGCCTTGTAAATCTGCCTATGAATCTCATGAGAGTCTGTTCTGTTCCTGTAGAGAGATCTTCTGTAGCCCCAGGCTGACCTCAAGCTCATGGAATGGTGTGAACCACCAAACAGGCTATAAAGGTCCCCATCTTGCAGACTATTTTAGACTAATTGATGACTTTGCCTCAGGCACGTTCCTGCTTGGCTGGCTCCTTCCTGGGATTTAGTATGAAAATTCTGAAAGCAGAGTTTTGGTCAAAAGACATTTAGGAAAATTACTGTTTTTAATGTTAGATGTTGGAACCCAGGGCCTTTTCTTACATGTGCTGAACAGGTGCTCTACTGCTCAGCCACATCCCTGGCTCTTGATTTAAAAATTAAAACAATTTATCATCATTGTTATTATCTGTGTGTTTGGTGTATGTCACACCTGTATGTGCCCGGACCTATGAAGAGGTCGAAGGGAAGGTGTCAGTACACTTTATTATTAATGGCCTGAGTTTGGAAGCAGGCTTGTTTCCCAAACCTGGAGCTAGGCTGGAGGCCAGCAATACCCAGGACTGTTTCCCTGTCCATCACACCTTGGGGTACAGGTGTGTGGTGTTGGGTAGGCTCTGTGATCTAAACTCAGCAAGTGTCTGTAATCCATGTTCTGTCTCACTCTAGTACGTGGTGTGGCCCTGGCTGACCTGGAACTTGCTGCTTAGACTGGCTTCAAAGTCAGAGCTCCACCTGCCTCTGCCTCTGCCTCTGCCTCTGCCTCTGCCTCTGCCTCTGCCTC